AGTTAAAGGTTCTTTTCTTCATTGGACATATCTAATAACTAATTAGTGAATAACAAGCTGCCTGATTTGCTTCCTTGCTAAGCAGAGTTTATACTTGTGGGGTTTGTGGCTTCTGGATTATGGTGTTGGATTAGTGCTGTCTTTCAGAGAGATTTTTAAAGTTTCCAGGATTCTGAAAGGTTTCATAATTAAAGAAGGTGATCTTGCATGAAGGTGATCTCACACTGTGATTGATGCTTCTTTCCTCCTTCCAGCGCCTTTAAAGGCTTATTTACTTTTTAAACTGCCTTCAATTACCAGGTGTCTGTTTCTACAGTGCTATTTGTGAAAGTTTATAACGCTTACAGCGGAGCTGTTAAACTGTCCCAGGTGACTTCTTCTAAAACAACAACAGCAAAAAAAACAACAGGGCTTGTCTTATGCAGTGGGTATTGCTGTGTTAAATTGACCTGATTTCTGCATTCTTTAACAGGAAACTTTTACCAAGGAAACAAAGGGGATTTTGTTTTTCTCGGAGTGCTTTGGCTGGTTGGTGGCAGACATCTTTCAGGCGTGGGGCAAAGCCCGGGATGTGGGCTGCTCCCCAGGGGTGCGTCGTGCTGTGCTGTGTGTGCTGCTTCCCGTGGGGGCCAGGATCCCGCATGGCGTGTGAGGGACAGAAAGAAAATGAAAGCAGCCTGATGGAGAAAATGTGTGCAGTGAAGAGCAGGTTTTACACTGTTTTGTGATACGTTGTTCTGGACTGTGTTTTACGACCTGGACTTTCTGTTTCTTACTTAGATACCGATTTAAGGTTTTGGACTTAAGTTGTTCCCTCATCCCAGTTGAATACTGAATGTTGTGCATTAGAATGCAGCTGTTTTGGAGTCTAACTAACTAGCTAACGCCTGGGGCTGTGCAGATGAATGGCGTTCAGTGCTGTCTCTCTCTCTAGGTGTGAGAGGAGATCTTTTCCCCAGGCACTTCCCCCAGCTGTGCCCCCAGAACCAGGGCTGTGCTCCCCGTGAGGCCGGGCCGCAGAAGGCCGCTCAGGGCAGTGCAGTATCCGGGGGCCGCGGCTGGCCGCTCCCAGGCTGCGTTCCCCCCGGCTGGGGGCTGTGCACTGCGGGGTCACAGTCATTTTGTGTGTGTGCATAATGATTTGTGTGTGTCGCTTTCTCCATTCGGATCCATGCTAATTGGCCAGGCTCCCTCTTTCAGACTGCGTCCGGGCAAAATGCTTTCTTTTGGGCTTTCAAAACTGCGTCTCCGTGGTGTGTCACCTCGCTGGTGATGCAGATTGGCTGCTGAGTGAGAAGTGGCAGACTGGAGCGGCGGAGTGTTCACCCTGCTTTTCTGAGAACAGCCCTTCCACAGATCCTTAGCGATTGCCCCCGGTGGATTTCTGATGTGCAGTGCTCCCCTCCTTGTGCAGTCTGACTTCAAGCTGCTGTTTTTGGACATTTGCTGCAGAGCTTTAACTTGCCGAGGTTCCAGTGTGGGCTAACGGAGATGAAGGAATATAGCGAGGTGCTGTGGAGGCCGCTGTTCCTTGATAGCAATCTGTCTTGCTTCCAAATGCTGGAAGGAGCTCTCGAGCAGTTGATCATTTTTAACTCTGCTGACATAAAAATCCTTAAAAAGCAGCCAGGCGGGAGGAAGCAGTTGAGTACCCCTTTTTGAACACTGAAGACTACAGTAATGTGACTTTTTAATACGTACAGACTATTGACTCTGACCTTACCCATTATGTTATGTGGGAGAAGCCTTACCGAATTTAGCATGTTCATTAGATATTTTCAAGCGTGATGGATTCCCACCTCCCCCTGCTGCGAAGGAACTCTCAGATGGTATGTGTGTGCTTGTGTGACTTCGGTGCAGTTATTTGCTGCTCGTGTCGTGCTCAGTGGCATCGGGCAGTGCCACGTGTGTGACCTGCTGGCCACTGCCTGCATGTGGCCAGTTGTGCTGCTGGCTGTGCAGGCCGACCTGCTGCTGCCCAGCTGCTGCTGGCTCTGGGAGCGCTGGACAGGCAGCACCCAGCCCAGGAGCTCCGTCTGCTGCCAACCCAGAGCAGAGCTTGTTCTTGTCGAGGTTCTGTTACTGAGAAGCTGATCTGTGTGTGCTGGGCATGGTGTTCTGATGACTGTCCAGCACATAGTAGCAAGAGTCTTATTTGGGAGAGAAGTGTTTAGACTGGTAGTCAAATGGTGGTACTGGATGCAGTGCTCTTGTTAGGTGTGTTTTATCCTGACAGAGGACACTGTGGGACCAGCCCTGGTTCTGGCATGGCTGTGCCCAGTCATCCAGCATGCTCCCAGCTGGCTGTGCCTGCCAGTGCCTGGGCTGGACGGAGGTGCAGTTCTACACATCTGTTCCTTCTTGAGTGGAAAACTGAGCATCAACAGCTCTTCTTTCAGTGGAGTTGTCCCGGTTGAAGCCACGTGAAGCTGACTGTTCCAGAGCAGCAAATGGAGGGCATGCCCTTTTGGAATAACACTCCGGCTAACCTGGGATTTTTTTTTTATTATTTTTTTAAAGTGAACCAATGGATTTGGATGTCTGATTCCAATTAAGCTAACTGTAGGTGGGGAGTCTGCATCCCTTGGCTGGTAAATGTGAGTCAGAGTAGCAGAGAGATTTTATTCCAAAGCAAATGATGGACCTTGAGAATCCAGAGTTCTGCTCCCATGCTTCTTCCTCCAAACTCTTCCAGGTTAGTCCTGTTTCTTTTCATCTTAGGTGTAAGGTGCACTCTATGAAATACTGCAAACTGGATTCACCAGCAGAGCTCAGGACTCTTCCTTTCTGCTGCCCCTCCTTCTCTACCAGGCTGTCAGGAGCAGCAAAGACAAACCTTGCTGCTGTTACCATTGTTATCGTTCGTTTTATTTCCCTGCATTTGCATATCAGGATAGAATAAGGGAGTTACTACTTTCTGCTCTTGGCATATGTGTGTATCTTAATTATTACTGCTGTATCTTCTACATACAGAGTAGTAGGAGATCCCTACCAGATGGCATGAGAGACTTGGTTTGACAGTTGATGGCCAGTGTGCGGGTGTTTGCAGCCTATCCTGGTGGAGATGCCTTGTGTGCTGTAAGCTGCTCATAGAATTTGTCTCCCTCTGGCACTGGGTGGTCAAATGAAAAAGTTGATGAGTCTGAGTCCTAGCTTATCTTCTCAGGTAGTAAGGGCTCAGGGTTTTAAAACCTATTATTCTTGAGCTCAGCTTCTTGCTCTCTGATCTCTTAGAGGCAGAACACGATCTCTGTTCTTTGCTGCTGGCAGACAGAGGAAAAAGTGCCTGTGTAGGGCCTTCTGTGAGTGTGATGAGCTTGGTCAGAAGCTGGAGTTGAGGTGGATTTTATTCTCCCTAACCACTCAGGTAGATTGCTCACATTGTCCTTAACCTCCAGAGAGCGTCCTATTGTTTTGTAAAACACATGTATTTCTATTATTGTTGCCTAAGGATGGCTTTTGTATTCAGAATGGCCCTGTGTCTAGCCTATTTTCCTTTCTTTTTACTTAGTGCTAACTAAAAATTAAAATTGAGCATCACTTGCCTTTTTTTCTGCAGAAGTAAGTCCTCTGCACCAAGACCTAGCTGCTTGGATACGGCAGGAGAGGGTCAGAAAAGGGGGAGGACAGGCAAATGGGAGAGAAGCAGCATGCTGACACCCTTGTGTGCTCCTCTCTGCTTCCAGATTGAGTACATCTCGTCTGCAAAGTGCTGAGCCTTTATCAGCCCGGGGGTAGGTCTACTAATGACTGATCTAAAACCATCAAATTCATTTATTTGTCACTGCCAGTGACAGCCCAGTTAATGCTAATGGATTCTTTTTTTAGCCTGTTGACTCTGGTGATAGTCTTATAAATGTTGTGAAATCCAAAGCGTTAGGGGAA